GAAGTCTTTTCCCATCCTGCCAGGTGTAGTGGCTCATGCCTGTATTCCCAGCACTTTGGGAGGCCAAGGCAGGTGAGTCACCTGAGGTCAGGAGTTCGAGACCAGTCTGGCCAACATGGTGAAACCCTGTTTCTACTAAAAATGCAAAAAAGTAACCAGGCGTGGTGGCGCATGCCTGTAATCCCAATTACTTGGGAGACTGAAGCAGGAGAATTGCTTGAAAACCAGGTGGCAGAGGTTGCAGTGAGCCAAGATTGCACCACTGCACTCCAGCCTGGGCGACAGAGCCAGACTCCATCTTAAGAGAAAAAAAAAAAAAAAGTCTTTCCCTGTCTTGACTTTGTAAAATGATTCTTTCCTATTTCCTGCCATCAGATTGCTTCCCATTGTATTTCTTTTCATATTCAGGGCTTTGGCCTAACTGGTATGGTATGAGGTAATATGTAGTCAGTATACCTTGATCCCCAGCCTCAGGGATGCTTCCTTGCTCTGTTCATGTTTGTTGACAGACTCTTCTGTGCTGAGGAAAGTATACCCAGCTCATGCCTAGAGATGAGGGAACAGGCTTCCCCAAAATCTTGCAGCGCATGGCTTGGTCCTTTTGACGGACTGGTCATCATAAGGAGGTCTAGCTATGAGAAAAAATAAAAAATAAAAAAAAAAAATTAAAAAAAAATTCCTGCAAAATATAATTTTAAATGGAGATCTATATCTTTTTTGTTTGTTTGTTTTTGTTAATGGAGAACAATATCACTCTGTCTCATGGCTCTGCCACAATTTATTTAACTAATCCCCTAATGGTTGATACTTCTGGTATCTGCAGTTCTTGTCAATACAAATCATGCTGTGTATAATCTACCTTGGCCTGTCTTCTACTTTCTCTTCTCTTAAAACCAAAAGTCTTCTAGTGTAAGTACTGCCCCTGGAGTTCCCAGTGCATTAAAGGTTGGAGAGAAGAAAAACTTGAACTGGCCTGGAAAGGACCTTACCTGGTGCTTCTAACCACTGAAACCACAATCCACACAGCAAGATGGACCCATCACACCTAAGTCAAGAAAGCATCGCCACCTCCAGAATCATGGACCATTACCCCAAGGAACCCCCCCAAAAACTAAAGTTAGGAAAAGTTTAACTCTCTTTTATCTAGTCTATCACTCTTTTTTCTTTTCTCTTTCTATTGCTGGCCAACTTGTTGTCAATGTAACTAGGTCAGAATCACCCACAATCATTATCTTTTTTTTTTTTTGAGACGGAGTTTCACTCTTGTTACCCAGGCTGGAGTGCAATGTCGCAATCTCGGCTCACCGCAACCTCTGCCTCCCGAGTTCAGGCAATTCTCCTGCCTCAGCCTCCTGAGGAGCTGGGATTACAGGCACGCGCCATCATGCCCAGCGAATTTTTTGGATTTTTAGTAGAGACGGGGTTTCACCATGTTGACCAGGATGGTCTCGATCTCTTGACCTGGTGATCCACCCGCCTCGGCCTCCCAAAGTGCTGGGATTACAGGCTTGATCCACCGTGCCCGGCCTAATCATTATCTTTGATGCTTGCCTTATTATATACCTTATGAAGACTTACAGTGGCAAAGACAAATCTCCACTTTAGAAAAATACCTCTACCTCTCCAGGGAAGCCACTAACCTTGCACCCTTGCTCACGGCAGACACCCCGAGTTGGGAGTTATATTCTCAACAAGCAGATGCCATCTGCACTACCAGAGACCAGGGCTGGACGTCCCCAGAGGGCTCTACTGACCTAAAATCTTACCTCCACTTTGCCAATGGAACCACACCCTCTAATTGCCAGTCTTATCATTATAACCCAGTAATTATTTCCATTAAAACTCCTACCTCCACCAACCCTCCACCCACTTTAGAGCGCTTTTACAGCTCAGGGGTAGAAGCCAATAGTTACAACCCCATAGGCTTCTTTGAAATGCGTTTTATTGTCCCCCTTCTCCCTCTCCATCTAAACCTTCTACCCGGCCCAATGACAATGCCAAAGCAAATATTGTAAAAACAAATAATTTAAGACAAACTCCAACGGTTAAAACGAAATATCCAGATAGAAATGCCTGGTTAAAATGGGTCAAATATTCCATCCTCATGTTAAACAAAAGCAACTGTTACGCTGTGCACACGGTCAGCCAGAGGCCCAAATTGTCCCCTTTCCACTCAAAACGTCCTCCAGTTGACCAGGCATGGGCTACAATGGTAGCTCTCTTCCAAGATTCTACAGCTTAGGGCAGTAAATCATGCCAAGCTCTCTCTCTGCTCTGTCCCAAAGTCCAACACTCTGAGGGTCAGCCCCCGAGGGTCATCCGGCTTCCGTCTCCCAAAGTCAACTTCACCTCGTGTTGCTCATAACAAAGGAAAAACTTAACGTTCCTTGGAAACTTAACAGGTTGCAGTGAGCTTAGGCCATTCCAGAAACTTCCCCGTCAGTCCGCCCTTATCCATCCTTGAGCCGATGTATGGTGATATTGTGGTGAACTCTTACTGGACACTCTGCCAAGTAACTGGAGTGGCATTTGTGCTCTTGTCAATTGGCTATCCCTTTCACGCTGGCGTTTCATCAACCAGAGGGAGAAAACAAACACAACACTGTAAAATAAGAGAAGTCCCTTATGGATCTTATAACTCCCAAGTTTATTTAAACACAATTGGAGTCCCATGGGGGTGTAACCTAATAAATTCAAAGCCTGGGACCAAATAGCTACAGGATTTACATCAATATTTCCATAGGTAAGTATTAATAAAAATATAAATTAAATAAATTACATCTATTATAATCAACAGCAGTTTGTTAATTACACCAGAAATGCTATCAAAGAAATAGCTGACCAATTAGGGCCTGCTAGCCAAATAGCTTAGAAAAACAAAATGGCCCCAACATAATATTAGTAAAAAAAGGTGAAGTTTGTTATAATTAAAACTCGGCCAGGCATGGTGGCTCACGCCTGTAATCCAAGCACTTTGGAGGCCAAGGTGGGCGGATCACCTGAGGTAGGGAGTTCAAGACCAGCCTGACCAACATGGTGAAACCCTGTCTTTTTAAAAAACAACAACAACAACAACAAACAATAAAAAACCTCAATGATGTGGCCAGGCACAGTGGCTCACACCTGTAATCTCAGCACCTTGGGAGGTCAGGGCAGGTGGATCATGAGGTTAGGAGTTCAAGACCAGTCTGGCCAAGATGGTGAAACTCTGTCTCTACTAAAAATACAAAATTAGCCTGGTGTGGTGGTGGGTGCCTGTAATCCCAGTCTTCGGAGGCTGAGGCAGAGAATTGCTTGAACCTGAAAGGTGGAGGTTGCAGTGAGCCAAGATCACACCATCACACTCTAGCCTAGGCAATAGAGTGAGACTCTGTCTCAAAAAAAGAAAAAAACCAAAAAACAAAAAACTCAATGTTGTACCTTCATCCCAAACGATACTGCCACCAATGGAAACATAACAAAGGCCTTAAAAGGACTTACCACTTTATCCAATAAATTGACTAAATATTCTAAAATCAATGACCCATTTTCAAAATGACTATAAAGGTGGTTTGGTAAATAAAAAGAAATCATAGCCTCAGTTCATGCTTCTCTTGCAAGATAATAGGTATACTCATTCTTGTTGGGTGTTGTGTCATACCATATATCCGTGGACTAATACAAAAACTTAGAAAAATAGCACTTACTGAAATTTCCCTTAGCTCTCCACCCTATTCGAGTGAGCATTTCCTTTTAAAGGATCAAGTCAAACAGCAAAGCCAAAACTTGTTAAAAAGATTTTTTTTAAAAAAGGATTATAAAAAAAAATTAAAAGGGGGGAATTGCAAGATACAGTGAATTTCTCTACATTTTTCTTCAAAGGTTCAGCCTGTTAACTCCCTCGTTCTTTTTTCTTAAACTCAACTTTCTTGTTCTCCATGCCTCCTTGCCTCTAGTTACTGTAAACAGCATGCCTGCCAGCTCTAATCAATAACCCACATCTGTTCCCTTGGTTAATCACTCTGCACCTATTCCATCCTTCGATACTGCATGCATCCTTCGATACTCCACCATTGTGACTCACACATCCCTCTTCCCTTCCTTATTTGGGAAAATAGTCACCAATAGTCAGTTGGGTCAGTTTAGATTGTGTGGTCTGACCCCAGCCCATAGGAAAGTAACACAAAGGTAGGGACCCTGCATGAAAAGTAACTACCCCTTCTCCTCCCTTGTCCAGGCGTGCTCTCACCATTGCTCCAGCCGTATGATGCACCCTTCTATAGAAGTAAATTGCCTTACTGAGAAAACTTTTGCCCAAGTGCTGGTTTCACTTTGAGGCACTAAGCATTTTGCTTCTAACATCTGTAATCCCAGCTACTGTGAGGCTGAGGCAGGAGAATTGCTTGAACCCATGAGGTAGAGGTTGTGGTGAGCCAAGATTGCACCACTCCAGCCTGGGCAACAAGAGCAAAACTCTGTTCCAAAAATAAAAAAGAAAGAAAAGAAAAGAAAAAGAAAATAGCAGTGTTGGCTGGGCATGGTGGCTCATGCCTATAATCCCAGCACTTTGGGAGGACAAGGCAGGTTGACCACCTGAGGTCAGGAGTTCAAGACTAGCCTGGCCAACATGGTGAAACCCCATCTCTACTAAAAATATTAAAAAATTACCCAGGCATGGTGGCACACACCTATAATCCCAGCTACTTGGAAGACTGAGACAGGAGAATGGCTTGAAACTGCGGGGGCGGAGGTTGCAGTGAACTGAGAACATGACATTGCACTCCAGCCTGGGCAACAAGAGCAAAACTCCATCTCAGGAAAAAAAAAAAAAAAAAAAGAAAAAGAAAACTGCAGTGTCACAGTGAATAAGCAGGCTAGTGGTAACAGGAAAGAGGAGGGGCATGATAACTGATATGGTAATTGAGTAATTAAAATGGGTTTATAACCCTCCCTTGAGAAGAAACACAGCATTTCTGCCGCTGTCACTCCTTTGAGGAAAGTGCTTCTACTCCACCAACCCCCTCTTTTCCTAGTGACATGGCCAGCAAGGAAGTCATTACAGTGTTTGGAGCAACAGGTAAAAACGTCTTTAATTTTCAGGGCATGCTTACTTTGCTCACTCTCCTGTCTTCTTGTTTTTAACTTCAGAGCCTGCAAGTGTGGGCTGAACAAAGAGCCTTTTGGAAGAAAATTTTTAAAGTATCTTATTGCTTTAGTTTGTGATGTGGTAAAGGGGCGGCATGATTTAACTTGATTTATAACTTGATCTCAGCAGGACAAGGACAGTGACATCATCTCCCTTTTCCAATCACGGGGCGCACTTGTTGGCATAAGTTTCGTTTCCACATAAGCTATCCTCTGAAGTCTTTTCTCCACTTCCTAATAAGCAAAAGGTACGAGTGTGAGAGGCCTGTGGGTTTGCAGTGAGTATCCAATGCCTGACCAATCTTCCAGGGCTTCTGCCAGGATGGAGTGTGCGGGGAGGTTGTGCTGGTGCCTTCCTTACGGTTTGTTCCTCAACAGTCAGAGCCGTCTTTGCGAAATGTAGATCAAATCAGGTGATTCTCCTTCAATCTGTTCTCATTTCAGCCTTTCAGGGATCCATTGGAAACTGTCAGATCATGTCACACCTCTGCTCAAAACCCTCTGAAAACTCCCAGACCCCTGGCGCTCCAAGTAAAATGCAAAGTCCTGCTACTGCCCTGCCACAGGGCCTTGGGAATGTCATGGCAGACGTCTCTTCCTGCCACTCTCCTCTCATTCCGCTTCCTTATCCTGGCTTTCTTGCTGTTCCTCCAAAACACTCCCACCCCAGAGTCTTTGTATTGGATGCTTCTTTAACCTAGAATGGTCTCCATCAGTTCCTGACACGGTTTGGCTGTGTCCCCACCCAAATCTCATGATTGTAGTTCCCATAATCCCCACATGTTATAAGAGTGACCAGGTGGAGAGAGTTGAACGTTGGGGGTGGTTTTCCCCATCCTGTTCTCGTAATAGTGAAATGGGAGAGTTTCCTGGCCCCCCGCCACATGATGTGCAACAGGGGTGTGGCTCTCTGTTCTGCCACTGCCAGCTCAAACCCTTTAAGGGAGGGGAAGCATGCAAACAGGCAGGTGCAGGGACTGGGGCAAGCGCTTTTGGGCTCTGGTCCCATAGCAGCATCAAGGGTTGCGTGTCTGTAACTTCCAAAGCCCGAGTGTGCGTGTGTTACAGTGTGTTCTTTTAGCCTTGCCATCTGCACACAGCTTAAAGGTTAACCGGCTCAGTGAACCCTCTGCCTCTTTGCAGAAGAAGGGGGCTAGTGTGACATCTTTGTGTATCCTGAGCTCTCACCCAGCGTCTGAGAAGAATTGGGTCACACATGAAGGATGCATGCAGGGGTTTTTGAGTGGTGAGTGGTGGCTCTCAGTGGGATGGATGGGGAGCTAGACAGGGGATGGAGTAGTAATATGGTCTTGCCCTGGAGTCTGGCTGTCTGGATGTTCTCTGAACATCCCCAGCCAACTTCTCCTGATGTTCCTCCTATTCTCTCCTCTGCCATGCCACTCTGCTGTCTGTTCGTCTCCTCATCTCCTTGTCTGCTTCTGGAGTCTGGGATTCAGGGTTTATATGGGTACAGGACAGGGGGCATGGCATGCCAAAGGTAGCTTTTTGGGTGCAAAACCAGGAATGCCTATTCTTACTTAGGGCAGCGAGTATCCAGGCTTGAGGGTAGAGCCTTTGCCAGAAACCCTCTTCTACCCAGTATTTCGCTGTCTTGCGTTTGTATCAATAGTGAGTTAGTTCTCATGAGGTCTGGTGGTTTTACAAGGGGCTTCCCCCTTCACTGGGCACTGATTCTCTCTGCTGCCACCCAGAGGTGTCTCCTGCCATGATTGTAAGTTTCCTGAGACCTCCCTAGCCATGTGGAACTGAGTCAATTAAACCTCTTTTCTTTATAAATCACCCAGTGTTGAGTATTTCTTCACAGCAGCATGAGAATGGACTAATATAGTTCCCCACTGCTTTCTCCCTCATGTCATTCAGGTCTCTGCCTAGATGTTACCTTTTCCACGAGGACTTTCCAGACCTCTGCATTTGAAATTGCAACTGTGCTTCCACCCTGCCCGTGTCTGGCTCCCTTTCTTACTGGATTTTTTTTCTATTTCTGCTGGTCTTTCCAAACTAGAATATAAGCTCTATGAGAACAGTAATTTGTCTGGAGGAAGTCACAGGCTAAAGCAGGAAGCAGAGGAAAATAAATTCTCAAAAACCAACAGTCAAGTGTGACATGAAGTGGAAAAGAAGGGGCAGCGGCTAGGGGATGACTGTGATTAAGCCTTAAGGTGACGGTGAAGATGCTGGCTTTTCCTGAAAGAGAAAAGTAATCGAAGGGTTTCTTTTTTTGGTTTGTGTGTGTGTGTGTGTGTGTGTCGAGCGACATGGTCTCACTGTGTCGCCCAGGCTGGAGTGCAGTGACTGTCATGGGAGGCATCATAGTGCACACCCTCAAAGTCCTGAGCATTGTTCCGCCTCAGCCTCCTAAGTAGCTGGCACTGCAGGACTGCCACACCATGCCAGGCATTGAAGGGTTTTGAGCAGAGGAATGACATGACTTTGGTGTTAAAAGGATCATTTTAACTTATGCTTTGTGAAGGGACTGTAGGGGATAAGGGCTGAAGCAGGGAGACCTGTTAGGGGTGGTTGTCATAAAATAGGCAAAATGATAGTAGCTTAGACCAGGATGGTAGCAATGAGGTTGTGGAGAGTGGTCAGATCCTGCAGTGGTTTAAAAAGTAGAGGCCAGGTGCAGTGGCTCATGCCTGTGGTCTCAGCACTTTGGGATGCCAAGGCAGGCAGATCACGAGGTCAGGAGTTCGAGACCAGCCTGGCCAACAGAGTGGAACCCCATCTCTACCAAAAATACAAAAATTAGCTGGGCATGGTGGTGAGTACCTGTAATCCCAGCTACTTGGGAGGCTGAGGCAGGAGAATAGCTTGAACCTGGGAGGTGGAGGTTTTGGTGAGCCAAGATCACATCACTGTACTCCAGCCTGGGCAACAGGGTGAGACTCTGTCTCCATTAAAAAAAAAAAAAGTATAGTTGGCAGGGTTTGTTGTTGGACCCGATATCAGGTGTAAGAAGGGAGGAGTTGAAAATGACTCTGAAATTGTATGGCTTGAGGAACTGGAAGAACAAAATTGAGATTCACTGAAATATGGGGAGGAAGAGAAGGTTAGGAGCTCCTTAAACTTGAATTAGTCTCATTAAACTTGAATTGCCAACGAAGCATGCAGAGCCTGGGTAGGCAGTGGAGAAGATCGTTGGGAGTGGCCACGCAGTTAATTCTGTCTTCTAAATCTCTCGCAGCTTCTTTCCATTCTCCCTCTTAGAAGCTTTTTCCACTCTCCATTTGCCTTCCCTCCTTGTTCTACCCTTAAACAGAATCATCTTCAAATCTGATGAATTTTTCAAACCTTGTAGCCAGCTAATACCACCTTACACCGCATTCCTGTTCTCCATCGTTACTGCCTGAGATGTAAGCCCCTCTAGTTTTTAGTCTCAACCCTATATTTCTGCATGCATCCCTTCCCCGACCCCACATCTCAATCTCCCTTGCCTCCAAAACCTTCTCATTGTACCCTTCTGTTCCAACATCCACATCTTGGCTAAATGCCCCCTCAACCTCTTTGAATAAACAGTCACACTTGACTTTTCTTTCTCAATCTTCCCTGTTCACCATCACCACATCTGATTAATCAACAAAATCCTGTTGATATGTTTTCAAGGAACACTGTAAAAGACTTTGAAATGGGAAAAAAAGATTGCTGGGTATCCTTGCCCAGGGCACCATTCTCGTTTTTTGTGAGCCTTTCCTTGTTTTGAAGATAGTTATAACTCTTTTTTTTTTTGAGACGGAGTTTCGCTCTTGTTACCCAGGCTGGAGTGCAATGGCGCGATCTCGGCTCACCGCAACCTCTGCCTCCTGGGCTCAGGCAATTCTCCTGCCTCAGCCTCCTGAGTAGCTGGGATTACAGGCATGCGCCACCACGCCCAGCTAGTTTTTTGTATTTTTAGTAGAAACGGGGTTTCACCATGTTGACCAGGATGGTCTCTATCTCTTGACCTAGTGATCCACCCGCCTCGGCCTCCCAAAGTGCTGGGATTACAGGCTTGAGCCACCGCGCCCGGCGAAGATAGTTATAACTCTATACGTTGTAGCAAATAGATAATAACGCAACTGATTGTTATCCATAGAAATGCAAATCAATTGTGTCTGGTGGACCACAGTTGATTGCTCAGTGGATATGGACTGGCTTTGTCCCTAATTGTACATTCATTTTAGCATTTTGGCATTTCTGATTGCCTACATATGTGTGTGTTATTTGAATTTTTCTTATAACATTGTACTGGTTCCTTCATTAATTAATAAGTTAAACAAAAAATTTTAATGCATTCTTTTTTGTTTTTTAGATGAAGTCTCACTCTGTTGCCTAGCCTAGAGTGCAGTGGCGTGATCTCAGCTCTCTGCAACCTCCTCCTCCCAGATTCAAGTGATTCTCCCACCTCAGCCTCCCTAGCTGGGATTATAGGCACACACCACCATGTCTGGCTCATTTTTGTATTTTTAGTAGAAACTGGGTTTTACCATGTTGGCCAGGTTGGTCTTGAATTCTTGATCTCAAGTGATCCTCCTGCCTTGGCCTCCCAAAGTGCTGAGATTATAGGTGTGAGCCACTGCACCCAGCAGACACATTCATTTTATGTGTGTATAAATTATAATTTTACTCTTTAAAAATATATCCTTTAATGTTCTGAGTATTTTTTTAATTATACTTTAAGTTCTGGGGTACATGTGCAGAACACGCAGGTTTGTTACATAGGTATACACATGCCATGGTGGTTTGCTGCACCCATCACTCCGTCATCTACATTAGGTATTTCTCCTAATGTTATCCCTCCCTTAGACCCCCGCCCCCTGACAGGCCCCGGTGTGTGATGTTCCCCTTCCTGTGTCCATGTGTTCTCAGTGTTCAACTCCCACTTATGAGTGAAAACATGTAGTGTTTGGTTTTCCGAGTATATCTTAAATTTTCATACTTGTCTCCACCTGAATAACCCCTTCTAGCTTATCATACTACTATCACAGGTCATTATCATCTTCACCTAGATTATTTTAAAGCTCACTAATTGTACCCTTGTCTGTGGTCTCTCTATCCTATTCCACGCTCTCCACTAACCAGAGTGCTTTTCCTAGCATGTGATTCTGAACACACCACTCAACTTCATAAGCTCTCCTGCTCCCAGAACAAGCGCAGCCCTCTAGGCCTATTTTGCTTCTCTAGCCCCATGTTTGACATTGACCCGCAGTTCACCAGTCAGATTCATTTCAGTTCTCTGAATTCACTGCCTTCTCTCTCACCTCTGGAATAAAGCACTTGAAATCCACTTTGCATGCAACGTGCTCCGCATGCCTGTCTTCTCCCAAGTCTTGCCCGTTCTTCAGGGCTCACCTCTGTTACCATTTCCTTCAGGAAGCCTCCCTCTAGTCTGGGTTAGATGCTCCACTTATGTTCTCCTCTGGAGCCTGCATCCCTCAGCCCCTTCCCCCCTCCCCTAAGAGAACATATCACACTGTATTATAAGTGCTCTTTAATTATCTCCCCTGCTAGTCTGCAGGCTCTGTGTAGGCAGGTGCCATGCTCAGTTTGAATCCTGAAATCCTTACTTAACCACTATATGAACTGGAGTAAGTCCTTGACTCTTAAGACCATAATCCAATATATTCATAATGTCTTTCATAAATTATATCTTATATCCAACATGTTCAAACCCGTATTGTTTACAACTACATCCCCAGGGCATAGCACAGCATGTAAAGGTCATTCAAAAACACAGTCCCAGGGCAATAATAGAAACTTCCCTGTAAGAATCCTTCTCAAGGACCATGACCCACCCCAGCTCCTCCAGCACCCCGAAACCCCCTGCCAAAAGCACAAACTATACTCAAATAGAAGGTACTTCAGTGTGTTTAGGTTTAATAGGGTAAAATGTTCAACCCACCTGCATTTTATCTATCTATCTATCATCTATCTATCTATCTGTAGAGAGAAAGACCAGGAACCTCTTTTGTCAAACTGTCTAAATAACCCAAATATCAGATCTATAACCAGGTAAAAGTATAATTGCTCTTGTTGAATCTGGAGGACTGCGGGCATCCCTGATTTTGACACCCTGCTCATTTGCCCTTCTTGTTGCCTCAAGCCTCTCCCACTCCTCTCTTCCCATGCCCTCTGCAAAAATGCCTCTGAAGAGGCCGCGAAGAACTTGGTGTGAAAGCCATGCGGGTATGTGAAGTGCCGTGTAGCACCCACTGACGGAGCTGCAGCAGCAGCTCTGCTCTGCGTCGTGGGATTTCTGAGCAGCTTCTTTCAGTGAACATTCTTCCTCATCCTTCCCGTGTTTCTTCTTCCCTTGACCCCGCAGGAGCTCAAGGTGGCTCTGTGGCCAGGGCAATTTTGGAGAGCAAAAAATTTGCTGTGAGAGCAGTGACCAGGGATGTGACTAAGCCGAATGCCCGGGCGCTCCGGGAACTTGGAGCTGAGGTGGTAAAAGGTGACCTGGATGATAAAGCATCCGTGGACGATGCCTTGAAAGGTGCCTATGGGGCCTTCTTGGTGACCAACTTCTGGGAATCTTTCAGCAAAGATAAGGAAGTGCAACAGGTAGAAACCAGTTTGTTTCTTTTTTCGCTTTGAGCCCTTTCTCTTACCCTCCCCAGCTGCTTCTTCCCTTCCTAGAAGGGGACAGGCCTTCAATCGGGGCAAATATATGTCTTACATCCTTTTGGCATTTATGAAAAACATGTACTTTAAGTACTTGTTAAAGGTATCTTTTTAAGACCTTGAATATTCTAGAGTGATGATTTCATGAAGCTAGTCATTAGGTCTTCCACGTCTCACCATTTGTTTGTAGATGGCATGGGGGTGGTAGCAAGGGTACCCCCAAATTTGAGATTTGTCTGAGAGTGAAATGGAGAGAATAAAGATGTAATGAGTACATTTACATTTCAGATAGATAATTTGGGAATGGGTACACAGAAAAAGAAATAAACGAGCAAATAAACCCACAAGAAATTAAATGCAGGGAAAATGAAAGTTTGTAGAAAAAGTAAATGTAACCGTTGAGTAGCACATGACTCAGCTTCAGCTGTGTGCAGGCACTGAATATTGATCTAGCCAAAAACACGACTGGGTGAATTAAAAAGGGAATTGTGTATCTGTGTGGTGGTGGTGGACAACGTGAGCAAGTAAGACAGCTGAGCGCGCAAGCCAGCGAGAGAGAGATCGCTAATCCTCATCTTTCTTCTTTATTTTTTTTTTCTTTTGAGACGGAGTTTCGCTCTTGTTACCCAAGCTGGAGTGCAATGGCGCGATCTCGGCTCACCGCAACCTCCGCCTCCTGGGTTCAGGCAATTCTCCTGCCTCAGCCTCCTGAGCAGCTGAGATTACAGGCATGTGCCACCATGCCCAGCTAATTTTTTGTATTTTTAGTAGAGACGGGGTTTCACCATGTTGACCAAGATGGTCTCGATCTCTTGACCTCGTGATCTACCTGCCTCGGCCTCCCTAAGTGCTGTGATTACAGGCGTGAGCCACCGAGCCCGGCCAATCCTCATCTTTCATAGTAGGAATTTAGCAGATGATATTTCAAACTGAAAAAATTGAGAATCAATTGTATAAACATGTTTACAAAAATAAATAGCTAAATTAAATTAAAGTGTTACTTCTGGAGAACAGCAATCAGCCTAGGGGCACAGGGAACTTATTTTATTTTATTTGTTTTATTTTTTTTAGAGACAGGGTCTCACTATGTTGCCCATGCTGGTCCTGAACTCCTGGGCTCAAGTGATCCTCCCACCTCAGCCTCTTGGGGATTCTTTCTTTTTTTTGTTTTTGTTTTTTGAAATGGAGTTTCACTCTTGTTGCCCAAGCTGGAGGTCGGTGCAATGACACGATCAAGGCTCACTGCAACCTCTGTCTCCTGGATTCAAGCGTTTCTCCTGGATTCAAGCGATTCAAGTAGCTGGGATTACAGGCATGCACCACCGTGCCTGGCTAATTTTGTGTTTTTAGTAGAGACAGGGTTTCTCCATGTTAGTCAGGCTGGTCTCGAACTCCCAACCTGAGGTGATCTGCCCACCTCGGCTTCCCAAAGTGCTGGGATTACAGGCATGAGCCACTGCACCCAGCGGGAATCTTTTTCATTGTAAGATTCACTCCCTCCCAATCCATGACAGTACTATTTGAAAATTTAAACTATGCATATGTATAAATTTGGGAAAAAATGAAGATTAGATTTTAAAAATGTAATGGATGCTTTTAGCCACTTAAGAAATGGCACAATTCAAAAAATTGAAAGCAGGATCAAACTGTTGCAGGAATGTCTCTTGAATTAATTATGCCATTCCAAGCCCATGTTTTCGTGATAGACTCTGGAAGGGTCTATTTTAGGAGATCTGAATTCTAATTCTGATATTCACTTACTAGGAAACAGGGGTGCAAGGCACCTCTCTGCTGCTAACCCAGGTTAATTATGTTTTCTCTGCCTGCTACACAAATTTTTTTTTTTTTTTTTTAAGGAAAAGTAAGAAAGAAACAGCAAAAAGGAAAAAAGAAGAGACAGATGAAAGTGCTTTGGAAAATTTGGGTCTAAAAACAGACACAAAAAGAGAATATATATACTTGTATATTTGTGTGTGTGTGTGTGTGTGTGTGTGTGTGTGTGTGTGTGTATGCCTCCATTATGCCTTCAACGTCCAAATGGAGTGTAGATATAGCCCATTACTAGACACAATTATAGAAAATAAATAAATGTGCTCACAGTTGACCACAGAGGCACTGAGATCTCGGAGGAAAAGCCCGTCTCTTCCTGGCCAGTTCCCACCAGGTTGCTTCTTAGCTTCAGGAGGTACCTGGGGTTCCTTTCTCCTATGTCCCCTCCCTAATTCTACTACTCCCCCACCTCAGGTGTCCCGCTTACAGCCCCCATGGGAGCAGGCTGAGGGCTTGGGCGTTTCTGAGTGGATCCTCTACTCACCAGTGCTGGAGTGGTGGCCTCTCATAAGATAAACTGAATATATTTTGAGACTGGGAGGGCTTCCTCTCCACAGGGATGAGGGTAATAAGAAAATGGGAGGGTGGGCCCAGTGCCCTGGCTCACGCTTGTAATCCCAACACTTTTGGAGTCCCAGGCGGGCAGATGATTTGAGATCAGGAGTTCGAGACCAGCCTGGCCAGCACGGTGAAACCCCTTCTATACTAAAAAATACAAAAAAACTAGCAGGCGCATACTTGTAAGCCTAGCTACTCCGGAGGCTGAGGCAGGGGAATCATTTGAATCCGGGAGGCGGAAGTTGCAGTGAGCAGAGATTGCTAGACTCTGTCTAAAATAAAAAAGGCGGGGAATGGGGTGGGTGGAGGAGATCGTGCTCTTAATATTTGTCTATATGCAAATACAAATACAGCAGTCCACGAGGATTTACTTTTGACTCTCAGGGTAAGCTGGTGGCAGACACCGCCAAACGCCTGGGTCTGAAGCACGTGGTGTACAGCGGCCTGGAGAACGTCAAGCGGCTGACCGGTGGCAAGCTGGAGGTGCCACACTTCGATGCCAAGGGCGAGGTGGAGGAGTACTTCTGGTCTCTCGGCATCCCCATGACCAGTGTCCGAGTGGCAGCCTACTTTGAAAACTTTCTCACGGTGTGGAAGCCCGGGAAAGCTTCTGATGGAGATTACTACACCCTGGGTAATAAACGAAGTGAAAGCTCACCAGACACTGGTTGCCCTCCTCTCCGCTCACCGCCCACCCTTTCTCCCTTCTTGCCCCTTTGCGATGGACACCCATCATCTGAGTGCCTTCTGTGGGTTTAGCGCCGTGTGAAGTGCTAAGAGGGATGCCACTCTGGGCGATTACGCTAAGCTGCTCTTCCAGGGCACAGAACTAGATGTGGGATCAGAAGCACAAAGGGCTGCATTTCCAATCTTAATATACTGACCCTCCTTAATGTAAGTACTGGAGTTAGCGATGTGACCTCCAGCCTCCGTTTCCTCAGGTTATTTTTGTTTTTATTATTTGAGATGGAGTCTCGCTCTGTCACACAGGCTGGAGTGCAGTGGTGCGATCTTGGCTCACTGCAACCTCCGCAGCCCAGGTAAAGTGATTCTCATGCCTAGCCTCGCGAGTGGCTAGGATTACACGCGCCCACCACCACGCCTCGCTAATTTTTGCCTTTTTTAGTCGATATGAGTTTTCACCCTGTTGGCCAGGCTAGTCTCAAACTCCTGAACTCAAGGGATCTAGCCACCTCGGCCTCCCAAAACGCTGGGATTACAGGTGTGAGCCACCACGCCTGGCAGTTTCCTCATGTTTGATGGGAAAATGGGACAAGATGACTTTTTTTTTTTTTTTGAGTCTGGGTTTCTGTTGCCGAGAATGGATTGCAGTTGGAGTGTTGTGTGAAACGTAGACGAGATGATTGGGTGGATCTCTTTGAGCACTTTCTGACAAGGCAGGTAGTGAGCTTTGTGAGTATTTAGGAGAGGAACATTTCAAGAAGAGGAAATAGCCAGCGTGGCTGAAATAGAATGAGGGAGGGGAGGGAACTGGGAGATGAGGTCAGAACTAACAGAGGGTCTTGTTGCATAAGCTTTGTAAACCACTGGCTTTTCCTCTGAGAGACACAGAGAGCTATCAGAAGGTTCTGATCAGACATGACCGGGAGTGGTGGCTCATGCCTATAATCCAGGCACTTTGGGAGGCGATGGCAGGTGAATCACTTGAGGCCAGGAGTTCGAGACCAGCCTGGCCAACATGATGAAACCCCGTCTCTACTAAAGGCACAAAAATTAGCTGGACATGGTGGCGGATGCCTGTAATTCCAGCTACTCAGGAGGCTGAGGCAGCAGAATCACTTGAACCCAGGAGGTGGAGGTTGCAGTGAGCCGGGATCGCACTACTGCACTCCAGCCTAGGCGACACAGCGAGACTCCGTCTCAGAAAAGAAAAAGAAAAGAAGGTTCTGAGCAGACGTAACATTAGCTTGAGCTGGCTTTTTAACAGGATAGCTCTGATTTTTATGTTGAAAAGAGACTATGAAAGGGCAAGAGTGGAAACAAGGAAACAAATTTTGCAATAATCCAAGTCACAGATGATGGTGGCTTAGACCAGGGTAGTGGCATTGAAGATGATAGTAAGTGGCCAGATTTTGTACATATCATGCATATGCATTTCAAAAGAAAAAAAACAGGATATGGGATATGAGAGAAGCATCAAGGCTGACTGTAAGATTTGTGACCTGAGAAACCAGAATGAGAGGGTTGCCATTAGCTGAAGTGGGAGACCGTATGGAAGCAGGTTGGGGGTGTAGTTCAGTTTGGGGCCTGTTGAGTTGAAGATGTCTATTGAAAGTCAAGTAAGGATTTGAGTAAGTATTGGGACACGCGAGTCTAGAATTCAGCAGAAGTTTTGCCTGGAGATACATTTAACCATACTTTACACACAGAAGATATTTAGTAAAAACCTGATTGCTCTTTTAAATCAGTATCAAGGTGCTAAAGTAATTTCCTTTTTTTTTTTTTTTTTTGGGGGGGGATGGAGCCTTTCTCTGTTGCCCAGGCTGGAGTGCAGTGGCACAATCTTGGCTCACTGCAACCTCCGCCTTCTGGGTTCAAGCTATTCTCCTGCCTCAGCCACCAGAGTAGCTGGGATTACCATCACACCCAGCTAATTTTTATATTTTTAGTAGAGACAGGGTTTCTCCATATTGGCTAGATTGGTCTTGAACTCATGACCTCAGGTGATCCACTTGCCTCAGCCTCCCAAAATGCTGGCATTACAGGTGTGAGCCACTGTACCCAGGCTGTAATTTCTCAAATGAAACCTTGTATCTGTATATGGATTGTGGCCATTGGGTTTTACATTGCCTTCCTCTATCTTTCATTTAAGTGGTTGATCAATTTGGGTTGGTGGGACCTACCAAGGATGTGATATAATTAACTATTTATCTTTTTCTAATTTTTTTTAACTAGCACTACCAATGGGGGATGTACCAATGGATGGTATCTCTGTTGCTGATGTTGGAGCAGCCGTCTCTAGTATTTTTAATTCTCCAGAGGAATTTTTAGGCAAGGCTGTGGGCCTCAGTGCAGAAAAACTAACAATACAGCAATACGCTGATGTTCTGTCCAAGGTTTTGGGGAAAAAAGTCCGAGACGCAAAGGTGAGTTCTTAGGGGACATCCATGTGATCACAAGAGGCCACCTTGGTTCACATTCCACTGACTTGTACATTCTGGTAGACTTTCTATGGATTTAGGCAGGACTGAAAGACTTTCAGAAGAAATTGAGAAGGACTCTGGTTCCATAAATCTATCTTCATCGATGGGTGCAATGGAATCTCTCCCATATGGCTTTATTTCTTTGACTTAGGGTTAGTTGTCTTGTAAAAGTAAAATTACTTTTGAGTGGAAAGAATTTAGAAAATACAGCCTTTCACATATACCATCCCAGCTCCTTTCATAGGCCGTTACTGCTGACCACTTCAGTTGGCCAGAGCTAGCTGCTGTGGAGCAAGGCACCGAGCTTCACTGAGCCTCAGTTTCCTCAGTTGCAAAGTGGGGAATGGTAGTATCTGCTCCAGGTGTTCTTGTGAAAATTACGGAGAATATATTTAAAGGGCTTATCATAGTGATTGGCATAGAGCAGAGATGTATAGAGTATCTATTATGAACCCAGTGCTACTTTAAGGACTTTGCAGCAAGGTTGGAGTGAATATGTTGATGCCCATAAAGTCACCGTGATTGTTACTTCTTGTAATCATTACAAGACGTGACACCACAGGGGCTTAATTATGGTGTTCAGGCTATCTGTGTTTTAGATGATCAGAAAACGGTGGAAAAAGGTTTCATGGAAGACGTGGGCTTGAGCTGGTCCTGGAGGAAACATGACTGTGTAGGTACGGGGGCACCAAGAAGGCTGGCCTGGCTAATTCTAGAATAAACATGACAAACCAGGGGCAGTATGGGAAGTAGGCAAATTCTAGCTCTGCCCCATCCTTGGTAATTTACTTAACCCCTCCCAGCCTCGGTTTCTTCATATATTCCAAAAAAGTTGTTATACCCCCTTTGAAGGATCATTGCGAGGATGAAATGAGATCTGTACAGCAGGTGCTTGGCACCGGGTCTGGCACTTTGTAAGCCCTCCACAACTGATCATGCTATAAATCATGCAGGAACGGCCTTGTGTGGGTGGCTGCCTTCTTGGGCTTGGGGGTAAGTTATTTTCTCCAAGAAATTGTGGCTGGCAGACACAGGACAGGCTTTTACAGAAGACTGAGAACTGCTGATATTGAGCATGACTCAAACAGGTACTGGTAAGCGGAAGGGAAAGGAAAACAGGCTGTTTTCAGGGTACAATGATAGAGCTGAGGAGTTGCAACAGAGACCTTCTGGCCCTCAGAGCCTACAGAACTGGGGACAGAAGGTTGGTTCTATCCCAATGATTCTAGAGGGGATACCTAGATTTCCAACTCAACCTCAGATACTGAAGTTGTGAGGAGGCAAGATACTCTTTTTTTGCTGAAAACCACTGTAGGAGTCAATCCAGCCACGAAACCACATGTGTGTGTGGCTTCTGCTTATCTCACTGAAGCCACACACACATTTCTCGGAGAGATTAAGTTATTACTAAACCCAAGAAGGTAACCACCCACTCAAAGATGGGCTCACAAGAGGATCTCCAAAGTCCCTTGTACCCGGGTGCACATTTACTTCTCAGTGACCCCTCTCCCAGGCCATTTGCATTTGGGTCATATGTTCATTTTGTCCTGTGAGTTTGAACTCTGAAAGGAAGGAGAGAAATAGAGTTTGGGTGTAGGGGATGAGTGTGTGTATTGATTCTCAGAGGATGCAGTAGACATTGTTCTGAATTGCTCAGAACCTTCCGAGCATCTATTAGTCACATACTTGGTCCCTGACTCTTCTGGGTATACGAATTGTTTTATAATGCAGCTGAAGCTTCCCTGGCACCAAAAGCTATAGGGCATCGGAGGCTGGAACGTCTATAAAAGGGTCTGACAATTCTGGGGAAGGGTGCGTCTGGCCACAAGGTGGCACTCCAGCCCACACAGTCTGACATCCTCCCACTGTCTAACCCCCAAAGGAAGATGGTTTTCCCAGAAAGCGAGACACAGCAGAACAGATCTCTTTTCGTCAAAAAGCTGCAGAAAAGATTCCCTTATTCTACTAAAGCCTATTTGGTATCAAAGTTAGGGATGAAAGAGTGCCTCGAGGGGACACTCATGGAAGAATCGTCCATGTGTCTCACAACGGACTTCTAGTTCCAAACTCACTTCAACTTTTCAATGTTTTTCTGATTTCAAAAATAGCAAATGCTTATTGAAGAAAACTCAGAAAATTATAAAAAAGAAGATACGAATCACACACCGTTCAACCTCACAGAGATAGCTACTGTTAAGATTTGACAGGTTTCCCTGTCTTTTTTCAGTACATATAAGCATGTGTATATATTATACAACTTAGTAATTATAGTATACAGTTATACAACTTAGTAATTATATTATATATATAAATTTTTATATATGCACATATATAATACAATTACTAAATTGTATTATATATGCATATGCATATATTTAATACAATTAAAATAACACTAAATGTACCATTTTGTTTCTGGCCTTTTCAGTAATGTTATGAGCATTTTTCTGTTTTGTTAAACTTCTTCAAAAACATTACACCACGTTATGTTCTGACAGTAGATGTACCACAATTAATTTTATCATTTCTCTATCGTTGGCTGTACTGGTTGGTTTTAATTTTCTCATTATTAGGAATGCTGTGTGACAACCATTGTTTTACCTAAGTTGTTTGTGTCTGTCACGTTTTTTTAAAGGCCGCGGAGAATTGCAATGTCAGAGTTTATCTCTGATGGCTAAAGACAGATTATACTGGATCTGATAGAAATGAGTTTTGCTAATTCAGTAGGGGGAATTATAGATCCAGTTAGTGTTAGAAAGGGTTCAAGTAGTTGATTTTATGGAAGGTGACAGAAGGCAGCTCAGTTGGTGTGGGATGGGTTCCATTTCTGCTTGGGCCTGGCTTTGGCAAAGGCTGGGGCAATTGGAGGTAAAATACGGACTTCTAACCCAGAAGGGCTGTGAGGATGGATGGGCCGTCAGCCAGGTGAGGAGAGCCTGGTGCCAGAGAGGGTGGATCTTTTTTTTTTTTTTTTTTTTGAGACAGAGTCTCCCTCTGTCGCCCAGGCTGGAGTGCAGGGGTGCGATCTCTGCTCACTGCAACCTCTGCCTCCGGGGTTCAAGTGATTCTCCTGCCTCACCCAAGTAGCTGGGATTACAGGCGTGTGCCACCACGCCTGGCTAATTTGTTTGTATTTTTTTTAGTAGAGGTGGGGTTTCACCGTGTTGGCCAGGCTGGTCTCAATCTGACCTTGTGATCTGCCCTTTTGGCCTCTCGATGTGTTGAGATTACAGGCGTGAGCCACTGCACCGGCCAAGCAGGGGATCTTGACGCTGCATGGAGGGCCAGGTGGATGGTCAGTTTCAGAGGGCTGGTGAGGGAATACCAAGAGGAGGTATAGACAAAAACACTGTGAGGAGCTGTTCATATGAAGGCTGGATCTACAGTACCTTATCCAAAAGGCTTGGGGCCAGAAACAATTCAGCTTTCAGAATCTTTCAGGTTTTTAATAGGTTATTGTCTACATATATTACATAACATCACAAGCAGGGGCTGGAGCAGGAACCTGTAATCAAACACATCTCTATCTCTGCAGGAAAATATTTGAATGTTTCCACTAAATGGTATAATTAAAGAACATAAATAGCTTCACATAGTTAGATCAGGTTTGCCACCAAATTAGTTCAAAAAGATCAGTTTGCTGCCAAATGGCTATGGGAAAAAAAAAAAAAAAAGCTTTAGAGTCTCTTGGATTTTGCAGTTAGGCTAAAGAATTGTGGACATGGTCGGGCACGGTGGCTCACACCTGTAATCCCAGCACTTTGGGAGGCAGAGGCGGGTGGATCACCTGAGGTCAGGAGTTTGAGACCAGCCTGGCCAACATGGTGAAACCCCCTCTCTACTAAAAATACAAAAATTAGCCAGGCATGGTGGCGGGTGCCTGTAATCCCAGCCACTTGGGAGGTCGAGGCAGGGAAAATTGCTTGAACCCGGGAGGCAGAGGTTGCAGTGAGCCAAGACCGTGCCGTTCCACTCCAGCCTGGGTGATAGAGCAAGACTCCACCTCAAAAAAAAAAAAAAAAAAAAAAATTATGGCTCTGTATCATCAGTAAGGTGAATAATGTTATTTCAAACTATTTTAAGTACGGACAATAACATTTTCTGACTTTTTATTTGTTCTTAAAAGATTACCCCGGAAGCTTACGAGAAGCTGGGATTCCTTGCAGCAAAAGAAGTAGCCAATATGTGTCGTTTCTATCAGATGAAGCCCGACCGAGATGTCAAGCTCACCCACCGACTAAATCCCAAAGTCAAAAGCTTCAGCCAGTTTATGTCAGAGAACCAGGGAGCCTTCAAAGACCTGTAGAAAAGCAGCTATTCAGAGAGGCTGAACCAACCACACAGCCTCTTTCCTCTCTGATCCTTTTCCTCTTTACAGCACGTTCACAGAACATGTTGGAATGCAACTGTTTGTAACACCAAAGGATTTCCTGCAGTCCTCTCTTCAGTAGGAAGCACAGCATTGGTGATGGGACACAGTAGTTTGATTCACATTTAACTTGCTAGTTAGTGATAAGGGTGGTACACCTGTTTGGTCAAATGAGAAGTCTCAAGTTTAAATAACCTTCTGTAGCTCTCTCTCTCCCGGAGAGCCAAGTCCCCTCAAAGGACTCTGGCCTGAGGAACTTCGAGCTTCTCTCCTAACACTAATGGGAGGGCAGATCATACTTGGGATTTCTCCTGGGTGAGTGATTTCAACCCCTAGCGCTGAAACTCCCCTGGGCAACTCCAATTTTCTCAACTGCATCGCAAAATTCTCAGTGAACTTTTAAGTCATTTTAATTTTAAAAAACGAACATCTATGTAGAGAATTTTCCGGGAAACATGGTGTTCAGTGAAAAAGCACAAGCACTGGAAATGCTAGAATTTGGTTTGGCTTCAAGATTGGAAGTTTATTCTCTGAGTCATTCATGAAGTCGCCTATTGAGCCATCATTCAAATATTCATCTATCAATCCCTCTACCTGTCATTTATCCATTCCGCAAACTTTTCTTGAGCACCAGCACGGGTGGCATGTTTGTGGACTTTGCTTCATTCCTATGTGTTTTCTTTCATCTTTTTTTGAAACAGAGTTTCACTCTTGTTGCCCAGGCTGGAGTGCAATGGCACAATCTCGGCTCAGCGTAACCCGGGTTCAAGTGATTCTCCTGCCTCAGCCTCCCGAGTAGCTGGGATTATAGGCATGTGCCACCGTGCCCAGCTAATTTTGTATTTTTAGTAGAGACATGGTTTCTCCATGTTGGCCAGGCTGGTCTTGAACTCCCAACCTCAGGTGATCCTCCAGCCTCGGCCTCCCAAAGTGTTGGGATTACAGGTGTGAACCACCGCATATGGCTTCTGTGTGTTTTCTTATCACAGTGGTCCACTCTCCGAAGGCTCCTTCTAGTGTGTGGTTGGGTTTGAGTCATGCCAGGCCCAGTGAGGCCATCTCCCCATGTTGCTCTGGGCAAAATCCAGAGGATCTGCTGGGGGAATGGGTGGGGCAGGAAGCTGGAGGCAGGGCCTGCGAAGGGTGGGACTGTGGAAAGAGAAGGTGGCAGAAGGGCCCCATAGGACCTGTCTGTATCTCTATATCATATTGTAATCATCTTACTTGCTAGTTTTCTTTCTTACTGTGAGTAACTTACACTTATCTTTATCCCGGTGCCTGCTACCTAATGAGTAATCAATAAATGTTGATTGATTAAGTGAGTAAATCGTTAATTGACTCTATCATTACAAGAAAAGAGTGGCAGGCACAGTGGCTCGCACCTGTAATCCCAGGACTTTGGGGGAGGCTGAAGCGGGTAGATCACTTGAGCCCAGGATTTTAAGACTCGCCTGGCCAACATGGTGAGACCCTGTCTCTGGAAGAAAAAAAATTAGCCAGGCCACAGTCCTGTGGTCCCAGCTACTTGGGAGGCTGAGGTTGGAGAATCACCTGAGCCTGGGAAGTTGAGGCTGCAGTGAGCTGTGATTATATCCCTGCATTCCAGCCTGGGTGACAGAGTAAGAACCTGTCTCTAAATAAGTAAATAAACAGGTGCATTGGTCTTGTGTACTGGGGGGTGTGGTAAGAACTAGTAACTGATACTTTTTTTTTTTTTTTTTTTTTTTTTTTGAGACGGAGTCTGGCTCTGTTGCCAGACTGGAGTGCAGTGGCGTGATCTTGGCACACTGCAACCTCTGCCTCCCAGGTTCAAGAGATTCTCCTGCCTCAGCCTCCCGAGTAGCTGGGATTACAGGCACACACCACCATGCCCGGCTAGTAACTAATACTTTTTAAGGGTGAGAGATTGTCCACTTCTGGGAAGGGAGGATCCCCCACTATCCCACTTGTGATGATAGAAGCACCCGAGCAAGGGCGGAGATGGTGGTGTCTGCGTGAGAGCCCTTGGCCTAGAATCTCACTCAGGACAGGGAGCCTTGGTGATGGCAAAAGCCAGCCTTTTTTGTCTTTTAGAGCTCCAAGGGATAAGTGTTGAATAAATGATGTCGAAATTGTTGCAGATGAATTTTGATTCTGGGGGGAAATACAACTGAAGTGCATTGAGGACCACTCTCCTTTTCAAAGTACCAAGTCCCCAGCAATAAAGTCAGTGCCACTCAAGTGCTCAGCCCTGGGAAATGGGCCTGGATAAATTTCTAAAAAGGGAAAAGAAAAAGAAAAACAAAACCCTAAACTAAAAATAAGTGACTTAGTACTCGTCTGGGTGGGCCGGACAGGAAGAATGATTGCTGTTCCCTAAATAAACCACAGGGTCCCCCATGTGGAGAGTGACTACAGGCCCAAGGACCCCCTGGACTTTTTGTGTGTTTTCTGGGATGGCAGGTTGGTTTTTTAAGACCGGGATGGCTGGGCATGGTGGCTCACGCCTGTAGTCAAAGCACTTTGGGAGGCCAAGGTGGGAGGATCGCTTGACTCCAGGAATTTGAGACTGGCCTGGACAACATAGCCAGACTCTGTCTCTACAAAAAAGTAACAAAATTAGCCAGGCATAATACTGCGTGCCTGTAGTCCCAGCTACTTGGGAGGTTGAGGCAGGAGGATCACTTGAGCCCAGAAGTTTGAGGCTGCAGTGACCTGTGATCACTCCAGACAGAATGAGCCCTTCCTTGTCTCTTTTTTTTTTGTTTTGTTTTTTGAGACAGGGTCTCACACTGTCACCCAGGCTGGAGTGCGGTGGTGTGATCACAGCTCACTGCAGCCTCAAAGTTCTGGGCTCAAGTGATCCTCCTGCCTCAACTTCCCGAGTAGCTGGGACTGCAGGCGCACAGTACCATGTCTGGCTAATTTTTTTTTTTTTTTTTTTTTTTTTTTTTTTTTGTATTTTTGTAGAGACTGTGTCCAGCTTTGTTACCCAAACTGGTCTCAAACTTCTGGCCTTAAGTGATCTGCCTGCCTCGGCCTCCCAGTGTTGAGATTACAGGCGTGAGCCACCATGCCTGGTTTTCCCTGTCTCTTAAAAAGCAAGAAAGAAAAGAAAAAAAGACTGAGACAGACCAGGGCTGCATAGCCATGGACCAGCCCCAGTTGTTTCTGGAAAGCATGATAAGTCCTTCCAGGATTTATAACCAAACTTTACAGTGGCTGCTCTGAAATGAGACTGTGCCCTTGAGGGACGTCAATCTCACATACCAAAGAAAGGAAAAGAACTTCAAATCAGTCTGAGACGTTTCAATATTTGTTGACAGTGGACAAAAGATTCCACCACTATCCTCTCCCACTCCTGCCCAATAGTCTTCAGGCCAAGGGAGGGAACGGATTCCCTTTGCGTTCAGGGTGGAGACCTGGGGACCCAAGAGAGGCACAGAGGGTGGAAATGGGGCTGTGCGTCTCAGTGAACAAGAGCACCCTCTGTTGTCCAGGGGTAGATTAGGGTTGGGGGCGTGGGTGATGGAATGGAAAGGATGCAGGATGCAGATCTCTCTCTGTGATTCTAGAGATGACCCTAGAAACCCAAGCTGCAAAGTCAGATAATCCTGGATTCGATGGCCTCTGCCACTGACAAAGTGTGTGAACTTGGTCAAGTTACTTGATGTCTGGGCCCGTTCTTCCCATCCTCACCGGGACTGCTGGGAGGACGAAAAGATTGAAAACATGAGAGGCACTTTGTATAGTCTTTGCCAGGTCGTCAGTGCTCAAGAAACAGCTGGAATTATTCTTGAGCATAATTCCTGCCCTTGCCTCCTTCTTACGCCTCCCCAAGTTCTGAGGCGTCCAATGGGCTGTTCCGGGTGTCTCCTGACCTTGGCCTCAGGGACTGCAGGTTCATCACGCTCCGACCTCCGGCTGCCAGGTGTCCCGTCCCTTCCCAGCTCCCTTTTCCCACCACTAGATGGCAGGATGAGTCCAGCCTGAGAAGGATCGCTCCGGCCTCATCCCAGGTGACTTTTCCAAGGGATTTTTTTGAGGGGGAATAAAGCCAAAGGAGATAGTTAGATGGTGCCTGTTAAAGCCCTGTCGGTTACCCTCCGTGGTCATTTCGACAGACATGCTCTGATCACCTTCTCTGGGGGAAAGTGCCTTCTCCATGCCAGATTTGGGATTAAGGGAAGGAAAGGGAGGACCAAGGGATTATCCAAAGGCTCCTGCACTGGCCGGCCCCATGGCAGAGGGTGAGCCTTCCGCATAGAGGGCTCCCAGGCCCTCTCCAGGCGTGCAGAGCACAGGGCCTGCGGCAGCCGGGGAGAGCCTTGCTGGGTGCTGATGCCCCCGCTGCTGGCTTCTCCGCGGCCCACACTGCCATCCTCTCCCGACCCCAGAGACCTTTGCCACTCTGAAGCCTCAAGATTATACAAGGGGCAGAGACAATTCACCAAAAGGAAGCTGGGGCACTGTTAGAAAGTGCACATTGGGCAGCCCTCATGGTCGGTTCTCCCAAGTATGAGCAGAGCACTCCGGCAACGTAGTCCTGTCTTGGACTCCTCATGGGAGTGTGCAGGAAGGCAAATAACATGATTTTTTAAAAAGGTATTTATTTATTTTTATTTATCTTTTAAATTTTTTATTTTGAGACGGACTCTTGCTCCGTTACCCAGGCTGGAGTGCAGTGGTGCGATCTTGGCTCACTGCAACCTCCACCTCCCAGCTTCAAGTGATTCTCCTGCCTCAGCCTCCCGAGTAGCAGGGACTACAGGCATGCACCACCAGGCCCAGCTATTTTTTTTTTTTTTTTTTTTTTTTTTTTACCAGTAGAGATGGGGGGTTTCACCGTATTGGACAGGTTGGTCTTGAACTCCTAACCTCGTGATCTACCCACCTCGGCCTCCCAAAGTGCTGGGATTACAGGTGTGAGCCACCGCACCCAGCCAAAAACTTGAATTTTAAACCATCTCGGAGTTTAAGTTGCTATAACTTTTCTGAGGGGCTGCCTGGCTGAGAGGATTAAAAATGTACATACCCTTTACTTGGCAAAACTCCTTCTAAGAAACCATCTTAAGTAAATAAACACAAATATAGATAAAAACATAAATTTGAGGATTTTATATGAAAGCGTTTTTCATGAGAGCAAAAAAATATAGAAGTAAGCAAAATGTTCAGCATTTAAGAAACGGATAATTAAATTACTGAAGTTTAAAAATTTCTTTAAATAGTTAATTTTTTAGAACAAGCATTTGTAAAAAATTTTTACTGAGAAAAATTATGTTTTAAGTGAAAAGTATTGGATTATATCCAGCATTATATCAAGCCTAATCCCAATTGTGTAAACTACATACACATAGTAAAACATTGGAAGGAAATATGTGCCAAAATATTAATAAAGTAAAATTTTGGTTGACTTTTATTTTCCTTAAGTTTCTTCTTTCCCCTAGTTTTCCATAATAAAAACTGTTACTTTTGGCCAGGCGTGATGGCTCATGCCTATAATCCCAGCACTTTGGGAGGCTGAGGTGGACGGATCACTTGAGGTCAGGAGTTTGAGACCAGTCTGGCCAACATGGTGAAACCCTGCCTCTACTAAAAATACAAAAATTAGCTGGGTGAGGCAGTGTGCACCTGTAGTCCTAGCTACTAGGGAGGCTGAGGCAGGAGAATAGCTTGAACCCATATTGGGGAAGTTGCAGTGAGATCATGCCACTGCCCTCCAGCCTGGGTGACAGAGCAAGACT